CCTGCTCCCCGGGATCACCTCCTGACAAACCCACTGACACTATCCTCTCCTGCCCTGATGTCAGGGGCTCCTCCAAAGGAAACAAATGGGACTTTGAATGTGGCAAACAATCAAAGAAACAAAAGCCCTTTGAGGTATGAGCCAGGAAGGAAATGGGTGACTGCTGGACAGAGCAAAGCAGGGAGCCTGACTTCAGAGCACCCTCTGGAATGTGGTGCGGAGGCTTTGGCCAAGGAAGGGAGGGGGTCTCGGGGAAGAAAGGCAGGTGCCGCGGTGTGAGGTGGGAACTGGCTGGGGGTCTTCCAGGCGGGGGTGGAGGGCGCTGGTGGGGTGGGCGCAGAGGTGGGCCGCACTGCCCTCTTGCTGCTATGTCAGCCAGGCTCCTCCTGAGAAGCAGAGCCAAGAGTTGCACAGCCAGTTATGACAGGGATTGGCTCCTAGGGTGATGGAGGCTGAGAAGCCCCACGAAGAGGCCCAGGAGAGACGGCAGTGTTATTCTAGGCCACGCACAGAGGCCTGAGAACCCAGAGCACCCTGTCCCAGCTCAAGCAGAGAGCAAATCTGCTGTACCGCTGCCTGAGGCCTGCTCTGCCAGCCTCAATGAACTGGACGGTGCCCACTGTATTTACTCAGCCTGCTGACGCTTGTCTCTTCCAGCACATAGTACTTCCATCTCTTCCGGGACATAGTACCTCACCAGCAATCTGGGCAGCCCTAGCCCTGCCAAGATGACACCTAAAACACACTATCGCAGCTGCCCTGTGGAATAAGCTATGGACCTTCCACAATTCCAGCCCCTGGCCCATGTGGGTGCCATGTATCGGAGGGTCCCGGGCAGCAGTTGTTCTTTGAGCCCACTCCGTCTCACTGGGCTGCAGGGAGGCCCTGACACCTGCCTCACCTGCACGCCCGACCACCCTGACATTCAGGTGCCCGTCTTACAGAGGAGGAAACTCAGCCCTCCGACGTTTAGCCATATGCTCAAGGACACCAGGCTGGGCACAGCCATGCAGGGACTTAAACCTGATCAGCTGGCTCCAAAGCTGGCACTGCCACCTCCTCCTTCCTGTGTGAGGTTTCGTCAGGCCTGGCGGTATCCGCAGTAGCTGTTTCAGCCGAGGCGCCTGGGGACTGCTGCAGGACACAGAAGTTTTGATGGTGGCAAAGGAGAACCCTCCAGCCCCTCTGCCCTTGTCAACCAGAACCAGGCCTGCTCTTCTAGAGATTAGTGGCTTGGGAAGGTCTGGAAAATACCAGCAGGGACAGAGATGGGACAGGCTGAAGGCCAGGGCCATGGGAGGAGGCATGGATGGAATCCAGACTTTGGGAACCCAACATCCATTACAGATGGCCACATGTCAGACCTGTGCCTGGCTGCCAGGGGACCCAGTTGAATGTGACATAGTCGCCACCTGGGGTAAATCTGCTGGGAAGGAGGCTGAAAAGAAAAGCCTGGTTCCCAACACACTATGATCTGTAATCACTCTTTGCTATTGCACCATCACCCACCTGAGGGCCTCAAGCTGACTTTTAGTGGTGTAAGAGCACAGACTTGATCTGGTCCCAGCAGTGGACTGCTTTTTCCAGCCAGTGCTTCCAATCCCATCAGAGAAGGTCTTGAGGAACTAGCAGGCCTTTGAACTGCTGGTCTCCCCTTCCAAGGGCGAAGGCCAGGCCAGGCCAGCGTGTGGCAAGGAAGGGATGGGACCTGGTACAACTTAATTATACGGGTTTGCTTTTATTGTGTTTGTTTTTATGGTACCTTTTAATTCTGGCAAGTGTAATGGGTGACCGTCCTGAAAAGACAGACCCATGTCCTGATCCAGGAATGTGACTTTATCTGGAAATAGGGTCTTTGCAGTTATCATTGAGGATCTTGAGATTAGATCACCCTGGATCAGGGGAGGCCTAAGGCCAAAAGCTGCTGTTTTAAGAGAAAGGAGAGGGAGACTGGACTTGGAGACACAAGGAAGAGGCCATGGGAGATGGAGCGAGATGTGACTCACTCCAGGGATGCCAGAGTTCTGCTGGAGAGAGGAAGGGTTGAATTCTCCCCCAGCCTCCAGAAGTCTGTGCCCCTGAGCCTGCACCACAGGCCTCTGGGGCAGAGACAGGAAGTTCTGGACATGTGAAGCCCCTGTTAGTGATTATTGCTGGGAAGCCCTGGGAAAGGGCAGCAGCAGGTGCTTCTGGCCTTCTGTTTCCAGAGGCAAAACCCCCTCTTAGATAACCCCAATTTAAAATGTGAGTTAAAAGTGACTGACAGCTAAGTGTGGTGGTGCACACCTGTAATCCCAGCACTCCAGAGGCTGAGGCAGGAGGATCACTGAGTTCAAGGCAAGTCTGGACTAACTAGTGAGCGAGATCCTGTCTCAAAAAGAAAGAAAAGAAAGAAGACTGACATCTCAGGGGTTAGACAGGTGTACATCTGGGTGAGCACAGCTGCTCTTGCAAAGGCAATCAGGCTGGGCTGGTGGCAGCTGGCACAGGGTGGGGCTAGGGGGCAGCGCCTTATGCTGTGGGGTTCCACTGGCCCAGCTGGAGCTGGCTGAGGGCAGAGAGACACCCGCAAGTGAATTCCTGGGAAGCCCCATGTGTCCAGGGATTCAGAACCATCTGCCTTTGGAGAAAAGCACTTGAGGGTTTTTTCCCAGTGCCAGGAAGAATCAGGACAGGGGGAAGGGGGTTTCCAGCAGTTGCTGGAGGGCATTCAGTCTTCCCTTCTTGCTGGCACTTGGGATGTGACCACCTCCCTCACCTGCCCCTCCTGCGCGGTGCCGTCAGGATGCAGCGGAGCAAAGCTTGCCTCCCGGTTCCCAGATGGGACCCTGCCCGCTCCACAGCGGGTCACTTCTAGTGACGATGACAACACATCCTACATGCTGTGGAAGAGCCAGAGACAGGTAAGGCGACCCTCAGCTGCTAAACACCCACCCACGGGCAAGTTCTGGATTTGGACCCGGGTTGGTGTGTTCATTAGCTTTTGGCGACTGCAGCAAACACCTGGGGGAATCAAATTACTAAGAAGAAAGGTTCCTTTTGGCTTGCAGTTTTGGAGGCTCTAGCCCATGGCCTGTTGGCCTCACTGCTTTGGGCCTGTGGTGACACGTCATGGCAGGGGGAGATGGTGGGGCAAAGCCAGTCACTTCATGACCAGGAACGGGAGGGGAGGGGAGGGGAGGAAGGGGTTATTCCACGGTCCCCTCTGAGGGCACATCCCAGCCTCCACTTCCCCGATGAACCAGCCTTGAACACGTGGGACTCCGGGGATACTCAGGACCCAAACCAAGGTGGCCGGGGGAAACTGTCCCTGAGCGGGTGTCCTGCAAGCACCCCAGGCCACCTGCTCTGAGTGAGCACTCTGCCTGTGCACATCCCGAGTTCCAACAACCTCCAAGACCAGCACCGGCTGCTCCTGGCCTCTCTTTACAGGCGAGCAAACCCCAGCCCACAGGGGAACCTGGCCCAGACTGCATAAAGGCAAGGGGCCCGCAGAAATTCAAAATGGGTATCCCTGGCTCCCAAAGAAAAGACAGGCTTTCTGTAAGACCTGAACGGGAAAAAGAGGGAGAGAGAGAGAGAAGCCACCACCATAGAGCATCTGTGTGCACACGGTGGTGCAGAGGATCCTCTCTGAGGCCCTGGATTTGAATGAGAGTTCTTGGTGATTTCAACAAAAGCCACACACATCGGCTGGAGAGCTGCTTTGCTTTCATCACGGCCCAGGGACGCAAGTTCCAGCGGTGGGCATGGGCCTGCACAGAGGGTCCTGTGGAAGGCCACGGAGCCTGCTAGGGCTGTTTCCCCATCTGTGCATGGGTGAGGCTGACTGCAGGGTGCCCTTGCGGATGGCTGCTGCCCTCTGCCCTTCTCTGGGTCTCCTCAGGCCCAGGGGGGTGGCCCGTCTGGAGACCTGGAGTAGGCAGGGAGGTGGCTGAGCTCCCAACTGCTGCCCGCTGGCTTTGCCCACCCCAAGGGCACCTTCTACTTTCTCCTCAGCATCTTCCAGTGAGCCCACGTGGCCAAGGCAAGGCTGCCCTGAGGGCGGTGCCAGGCACCCAGCAGATACAGCCGGAGGGCGGAGTGGCCCCAACCCCAACCAGGGCATCCCCGAGCCTTGGCAGGCCCAGGCCTCAGGGGGAAGTGACTGGACATCGTCAGCAAGGGTCCCTGTTGGCTGCCAGCTTGCGGTTGGCAAGGGAGGTGGCCTCACGCTGGTCTTCGTCTCAACCATCCACGAGGACAGTACCCTGCCTGTTCTAAGTTCACTTGCAAGACCTAGATGTCTCCGGCTGTTTCGGGGCCAGGTTTAAGCCAGAGCATCAGAGGTTGTGGAGAACCTGAGACCGTTTCCAGGGTTCACACTGGCACGTGCTGGCATGCCCTAGAGCTGTCCCCGCCCCGACACGTCGTCACCCGATGCTGTGACGGAGAGAAGCCGTCCCCACGCCCCTCCTCTCAGCAGCAGACCACCCACACCGCAGCTGCTCCACCTTGCCTGTCCTTCCAGGCAGAGCTGTGACATCCCTTCCCTGAACTGCAGGCTCCGAGTGGGTGCTACCTGCTTGGCAGGTGACAGATGCAGAACATGAGCAGAGGACCCTGTTGCTCCCTGGCAAGGTGGGGTCCTTTCTCAGGAACTGGGGTGCACCTGACCTGCCCCACCAGCCTCCTGCAAACCTGGGTGGGGGTGGGGCCCGGTCACGGCTTCCCGCCACAACGCCAAGGAACAGTGTGCCACATTCTTGGTCAGTTTTTTCCTCTTTTATTGTCAAATTCAAATTTATACGGAAGTTCCAGTTTTCATTTCCACCCTTGTGCTGAGTACCCACGAAGCATGAGTCACGTAGGCAAAAGCAGGTACTTCCCTAGGATGGCCAGAAGTGCTGTGATTGCCCAACCCCCCTTGCTGGGACAAGAGCTATTTACATATTTTCAGCTCACAGGAACAGAAGACAACCTTACTGGTTATGTCCGACAGTAACATCACTACGTTACACGTTTCATATTTATTGCATCTAGAAAAGATCAGAATTGGCTCACCAGTGCCTTTTTAAAAACAGTGCATCTTGGAGGCCACAGAGAAACTCAATGCCTGTCTTTAGGAGGTGCGTTTTGTCACCCATGCCCGGAACGCTCGGTAATGCAGGCATCTGGACGAGGGTGGTGAGAGGGAGCCGCCTTCTGCGGAGAGCAGCCAGGCAGGGCAGGGCGGCAGGGGGCCTGCTCCTCTGGCTGTCCTGGGTGCCCATGCCTCTAAACCAGAAAGCAATGTGCCACTTTTGAAGCAGAGAGGCTCGGGGATTCAGTGGCCAGCGCCGCTAAGCAAGCCCAATGGGCCCGGCAGTGGACTTGGGGAAGGTGACAGAGCAGGCCAAGGTGCTCTCCACAGGACTCAGAGGCGGTGGATGGGTGGGTGTCGGAGGGGTCACCCCAGATGCCGCTGCAGGACCTGCAGGCAGGAGCTGTGGCCCCAGCAATGGGCTCGCCCAGATCCCTCCCTGTTCTGTCTGGGCTGGCTGGTGTGGGAGGGCCCCAGATGGTAGGTTTGTGGGGTACTCCTGAATACACAGCTGTGTCCTCTACCACCAGGATGGCCAAGACCTGGGTGAGGCAGGTCCTTCGTCAGAGCCCAAGGGGCCAGCTGCCACCTCTACCGTGAGGCCCATCGGAGCCACTAATTTCAGGCAGCAGTTGGTGGTCCCACCTGCGTGGGTTTTCATCCTTACAGTGCTGGGCAGGGGATCACTGCTTTCTCTCATCTCTGCTGCACCAAAAAAGCCATTCCAAAACCAGAAGGACATGGCTGTGGGGCTTCTGCTCCATGTCCCCCTGCATCCCTCTAAAAGATCAGGCAGAACACATGGCCCGTGGAACACATGGCTGGAAGGCATGGGCCTCTCCCCGGGGACCACGTCTTTCCTCCCACCTGACTGCACAGACCTGGTCTCATGGTACCACTCAGCGGGAAGCTGGCTGCGCAGAGGTGGTGAGGCCAGATCATGGCATGTCTCCTGAGGCCACCAGAGAGCCGGGTGTGCTGGTCACAGCACTGTGTGGGCACACCTGCAGGGAAGCTGGGGAGGGTCTCCCTGCATTTCAGAGGTGAGGGGTCACCCACTGTGTCTGGCCAGGGGTGAAAGAACATCTGGAAGCTGGGTGGAGTCTGTCTGAGTCACCCGCACCGAGTGAGCACAAGAGGGCAGGGGAGAGAGAAGAGGTCAGAGAGACGCGCTCGGTGCTCAGCCCTGCTGCCCTTGCAGCCAGCACCCTCTCTCGGGGTGTACATGCCCGCAGGGGACAGCAAGGATGCCTTCTGGTCTGGAGTCCACACGGTCCCCAGTGGCTTCGCAGGTAAACAGAGATGCCATCAGCTGCAGGTGAGGCTGGATGCCGGTCCCTGTGTGGTGTGAGAACTGAGTGGGCTGTGGTCACACAGTCACATCAAGACCTCGCTAACAAAGCAGCCCAACAACTTCCCGCCCTCACGCTGCATGTGGACCTGACTGAGAGTGTGTGTATCTCCTCCATGGTGTTTCAAAACAATCTAAACTTCTCAGGACAGTATGTTATCATTCCACAGGCTGGCAGGGTTAGTAGAGAAAGAAGAATCATTTAAGAAAGTGGAGAAAGTGACACCAAGAACCCTAAGACAAAACGCTGACAAATTCGAGGGAAAAGGAAACCTTAACTGTATCATCACACTTTTACCATGACACCAAACCTTGGGGTTGAGGATTTTTTCCCTCTCAAGTAGGTGCTTTTTAAATAAATGCTTTTTATCTGCTGCCAAAACTAGAAATAAATAGCCAAAAGAGACGCTGATCTGCTTGCTTTTCTACAACCTGATATCCAAAGTGACCTTGTCCGCCCGATTCTTCTGTGCACACGGAGGTGACAGGGCCTGCCTGATGGAAGGGAGGGGTGCCGGTGGGTCCTGCCACCTGGGCTGCTGGACTCCGTGAGGCAGCCATGGCTGTCATCTGCATCCGTGGACCCCAGACTGCTCTTCCAGAGGTCCTCACAGCGGGCTGCACACACAAGGGGAGGACCGGCACCTGTTCAGTGCTCAGCGGGGCCTGCAGGTCCCGCACATGAGGCCTCCTCATCCGGGCTCTCTGGGCACGGTGTGGCTGGTGTGGGAGGCTGGGGGAGGCCAGTGAGGGTGCGAAGGCTATGGGGATCCACCGGGGGGACCAGGGTCAGTGACTCGACGCTCAGCGTGTCAGCAGTGTCCTCATAGAGCAAGGAGATGGTGGGCTGCTGGGCGGGGAGGAGGCTGGGGGACAGGTGCGCCGTCTCCACCTCTGCGCCCCTGGCTGAGTTCTTGCTGGGCTTGGCTTCTGCTTCTGTTTCATTGACGATCTCCAGCTGGTCAGGAAGGTGAGGCTGAGGCTGTTCTGGAGTTGTGGGGGCGTCTAGGTGGCAGAGAAAAAGCAGGGATAGACTTGGGCCTGGCAATCCTGTGCTCAGGCTGGCAAACCTTGCTCCCGTCCCGAACTGGGGCCAGGGAAACCTGGGTGGTGGATGGCTGGTGGGGCACAGCCTGGCTCCACTCTTCCTGGGGACACAAGCACTAAATCCAGTCTTACTCATCTGGGGAAGATGTGTCAGGGCCCAGTGTTCCCTGATTTGTGGTACCAGGGGAAAACTGGGGACTCACACAAAAGTACCACATGCATTAAGAAAGCACAGCTGCTGGGAGCAGAGACTGACCCGGGCAGGCTGTGTGCACGGGCAACTCTGGGTCCATCGGCCTTATGACAAAGATAAGATTAGGGAGTGAGGGGCTCAGGTGTGCCTATAACTTCGGGCCAGGTCCAGTGTACAGTGGTGATGTTCATTCACCCAAGAGGGAGTCCACTGCGGTAGTAACAATAATCTCAAAAACTATTTCTAGCCGGGGATTTAGCTCAGTGCTTCTGCTGCCTGCCTGGCAACAGCAAGGACCTGAGTTCGATCCCTGGTACAAAAAAAAAAAAAAAAAATTTCTATCGAACTTTTCACCTTACAAAACCTTGGACTATGTGTCCAAGCGTTGAGTTTACACCTATCAAGGGGCTGGGATTTCACCTTCCTGAGCTTCCCTACAGGGACCGTGGAAACTACCAGGCTCCACCCAATGTAGGTGCTTTCAGAGTGGCAGTTTTTTTTGGGGGGGCACTTTTCAAAATCCATGATTGGATTGCAGAGGGACAATGGGCTGCCCGGCCAGATGCCAGAGCAAGTAGAGGTCACGGTGGAGACCACCCTGCACGACTGCAGAGGCCTAGTGCTAAGAGACACAGAGAGGAAGGCCTGCATATCCCACTTGGGTGGCAAATTCCTTCTGTATGGATCTTGGGGTCAAGAGGCCCTGGGATCCCTTGGGGAATGTTTTTGTTCGATGTGATTCCAGTTGAGTTAGTTTTTCTTTTCTTTTTTTAAGTCAAAATAAAACACAAAGGCAAACTGAATACACAGCAAAAGAATGGAAAAACAAAGAGCAGAAATAAAACCATGCAGCACAGAGAATATGGTGGATGAGAGGAAGAGAATCCCCAGGAGAAAGCATAAGCACAGACCCAGGCTCCCAACACACGTTGCGTTTCTTCACACAAGACTCAGGGCCAGGTGAGGTCTGGAAGGTCCCCATTCACTTCTTTCTAAGGTTGGCCTGCCTGCCTGCCTGCCTGCCTGTCCCCCACTTCCTTCTCCCCCACAGTGCTTCGGATTGAACCCATGACCTTCTGCATGTCTACTCTTCAAAAGGAGGGGTGGGGAGTGCATGAGGGAAGGTTCAGAGCAAACTACCACACAAGCTTCAGGTCTGCCCTGGCTTGGAGGTGGCCACAGGCACCACTGAGCATCGACAGAAGGGCGTGACTTAGATGTAATCTGAAGCCACCGTGGGGAGTTCGAGCTCCTTGAGAGTTCTGGTTCCTCGAAATTTCATGTGTTAGGACACCTGTGGCGCTGGGCTGCTTCATCTCTGGCTCCCATTCGACCTTCAGCAGGGGTTGCCTGTTCCCGCGGCCTTCACACTCGCTACAAAAGGGCCTGAGCCTCTTCACACTCACTACAACTGCATGTGAGGACCTCAGGTGAGCAGCACTAACGAGGTGGTTCGGAAATGACTAACGTTCCAAGTGGTGCTGTCCTGCCATCGGGAGACCGAGGGGCCAAACCATCTCTCTCACGGTTTCTAAATTTCCATGGAAGCTCCCTCTTTGCTCAAGCTGTGCCCGCAGGCAGACATTCAGGGAGCTGGCAAACCTCTCCCTGATCCCTGCCGGGGTTTCTGATGAAGAGAATAACTGAGGATATGGGAAGGCTGTAGTCAAATCTGTTTGAAAAAGCAAAGCCACTAATAAATACTACCATACACACAAAACTGGTTTCTTCCCTAGGAAAAGAACCAGCAGTGGGAAATCCGGCACGTCTGCGTGCCCACGAGTGGTGGGACTCCAGCCGAAGAGGCTCCGAGGCAGGGGCCCCTCCTTCCTGGCTGGCACCCTCAGAAACTGGTTTGAGCTTTGGGGCAGGGCCTCGACTGATCTGCGTCAAGTCTGGGGTGGTTTACAGGGTCTGCCTGGACGTGCTGTGCTCAGCTTGGGAGAGGCAGGGTGGGAGGATGGGAGGAAAAGGAGAGCCATGCACACCAAGCTGTGGGTGAAACTCAGACGAAGTGGGGAAACGAAAAAGCGGGAGAGAGGCTCCCCACTGACAAGCGCAACTGCCAACGCAGGGGTAGCATCAGACACCACAGAGGAAATGTCACAGGAGAAGGTGGCAGCGGTGGGCCCTGACAGGGCCAGGCCCCTGGGCAGGGGCCCACAGACCAGCCTCACCGGTGACATGTAGCGGAGCACTGAGCATAAAAGGGAGGCAATGGGTCCTGCTCTTTGGTGTGTGTATGGGGGATGCCTTGGCTTTGGCTGGAACGTGAATGAATCTGCCGTTTAGCTTTGGGCTAGGCAAGGGGACAGTGAGAGGAGTCATTTCTTGGTTGGGTTTTATAAATTCTCACTTCTCCCGCCAACTGCTGCCTGGTCTCAAGGCCTAAACCGTAGGGAACAATGGAGACGCACTGGGAGATGCCACCTCTGGTTCGGGGCCAGCTACGGGGAGGCCGAGCCCAGCATGACGCCGGCCGTATTTCAGGATGAGGACTGTGTGTCTGGGCTGCACAGGGAGAGAGGATGCGTGAGGGTAAAGGGCGGATTCGGGGTGCAGAGGGAATGGGGAGGGCCCGCTTTGGGGAAAGCAGAGGAAATCACCCACTTCAGGGCTCCGCTCTCCCACAGCCTGGAGTCCTCACAGGCCCAGCCTGTCCCCCAAGCTCCTGCAGACCCTGCCGAGGTGACCGGAGTGTGGCGGGCCCGTGGGGCTGTGAGGAGACCTGCCTGAATTGACTGTACGTGAGTTGCCGTGGCGGCTGCCGTTCGAAGCACTAAACCCAGTGGCCACCGTGACTGTCGGCCTCCGACAGGCTGAACACTCGCCGGCGTCCTTTCCTGCCACTCCTGACTAGAGGGAAAACACAGCGACAGATCATAGAAGGCCTTTAACAACGGAACAGCAAAGGCGATGTACAGACAGGGACACAGCAGAGACGGACGCTAAGCATCGACGAGAGCAAGGGGCAGAGCTGGGCCCCACTGTGGGCTCCTGGAAGCTGGTGCAGGGGGTGCCAGCCCCCAAGAGGAGGCAGGGTCGGAGGACCTGAGCACCAGGTCATCCACTTGTATGATTTAACTGGGTTAAGGACAGGGGAGTTAGCCCTGCTGGGAAGGAACGATTAGGAATCAACAGCAGCACGTGGTCCTGGTCACAGACCCCAGCGGACAGGAAAACAGACTCGCCGGTCAGGATCCGCGGGACCCACCCTGGCCCCTCCCTCAGCCGGCGATGTTCTCGGGAGGCCTGGTGATCTGCACCTTGGAAACTAAGCAGGAAACACCGCAGGAAGGGCTGTGGCAGGGCCCAAGTGGCGGAGGGTGGGTGCCGACCAGCTGAAACAAAGGTGTTAGGAGCGTCTCAGTCTCAGGGACGAACTCAGGTAAGAGCGCAGCTAAGTCAGGTCCCAGGAGCAGCCATGCGGATGCGCTCCAACTCCGCAGGACCACAGGCAGGAAGCTGGCTACAGTGGTGATTTCCTGTTACACCTCCATTACCCCCATAAAGCAAGTAACACCACGGAAAGGCAGACGCCTGTTCCTCTGGTTTCTACACCTGAAGCCCAGGAGGACTGGGGACGTGGAGTTCAGTGACAGGGAGGCCACTCCCCAGCTGCCCGGCCCTCACAGTGGAGGGTGTGGGGTGAAAGCGATCCGTCTGGCCCAAGCACAGGGAGGAGGATGGCAGGGCACCACCAGGGACCAGCGCCTCCTTTCTTTCTGAGGGTCAGAGTCTGGCGAGCTGTAAAATGCGCCTTTAAAAGGGCAGAGTGACCTTCACTGATGTCATTTTCTAACAAATGACTTCTGTGCTCTTCTAAGCAGCTCCCCCAGAATGCATGTGAAGTCCAGCGAATCCGGAGACCAGAGACGCAGGTGGCTGTTTCACAGAGCTGTCACCTGAGGGGACGGGGCGTGTAGCAGACTCCCATGGAGAGCGTCTGCGCGCGCATGTGTGCATGTGCACGTGTTTGAGTACGTGCACTGTGGCACTTTGTGGGTACACAGACCAGCCCCGAAGACATTTGGGCCCATTTTCCCTTTCCCACTATAAGTTCTCTGCAATTTCAAATTCTCAAAACCAGAAAATGTTAAGGAGAAAAATGCTGATTCCAACCCTGCAATTTTCTCACTCGGAATCAAGCTGCGGCCACTGGCTGGTTATGCTGGCTGTGTGAGCAAACGCCTGGCTCCCAGACACTTAATGTACGGGGTGTCCAGTTCTCCCCACAAGGCACAGGGCACTAGAGCACTTCCTTTAAAGGGCAGCGGAGCTGGGCATGGTGGCAAGTGCCTGTAGTCCCGAAACTTGGGGGTGTGCTGGTGGGGGCCAAGGCAGGAGGATCGCTTGAGCCAAGGAGTTCAAAGCCAGCTTGAGCTACATGGCAAGACCCTGAGTCCAAAAAAAAAAAAGGAAGGCATGCACGAGATGTGGAGGGGCCAACCAAGAGCTGTGGTGAGACAAAATCAGACGATGAGAACAACAGCCCCTTGCTCCCAACCACCTCTAATTGGCTCTTGGGGTTGTTAAGGAATTAAGTTTGGGCCTTCTCTGCAGTTGGGGGGAGGTGTTGGTCCCCAACCCGAGCACCTACTCAAGAGGCACCTGTGGGAGCATCCACAGCTCAGGAGGCAGAGGGTACTAGGAGGCAGGTGCTGCCCACAAAGAAGGGGTGGCCAATGGTAGCACCGCAGGGCAGCCCATCCCCTTCTGGCTGAGGGGCCTCTCTGCCTGTTCTGGGCCAGAGACCATGGTCCCCGTAGGTCTGGGGCCTTTGAAAAGATAGACTATCTCCTTGTCTTTACCCAGAAGGGCAGAATTTATAGGATAGAGGGAAAAGATTCCACTTGTCTCCAGCAAGAGGGACGCCTGGGGCCCGGTGGACTCACGAGAGACCCAGGCTGTCTTCCTCATGAACCCCTGGTGCTCACTCCTTTACAACCCATCTCCAGTAAGGCCTCCTCTGGGAGAACTAGGACCTTCCAGAGGGGTTCTGTGCCGGCTGCTGACACCGCCTCACAGTCCGGAACTACATACGACGACGGTGAACGTCAGGAGAGCTGTGCTCCACGGGTCGCCTCCCACCAGGGTCCCAACCAAGGCCAGGTAGGTCTCTTGGTCCAGCCCTGGGAGGTACCCGAGAAAGACGTGGGACCTGCGTCAGAAATTCTGCGGGGTTGGTTCAGAAGGCAAAGTATGGGCTTTGGAGCCACCAAGGATAAGGTTTAAATTCAGACTCCCACGCTTGCTAGCTGCATGACCTTTCTGGGCCCCCGTGTTTTCAGCTGTATGGAGGGAGGTGAAGTATGGCAGGACCCAGTGGGAGGGTCTGCAAGGTGCTTATGGGTGCAGTGCCAGGCACTAGGTGGGCCTGGTTTGGGGAGTACATCTACGGGGGGCCGTGCGGCGTGCACACACTGGGGGGCCGTGCGGGGGCTGTGGCGGGAGCCCGTGCAGGCCTGAGAGCTGCTGGAAGCGTGGAGGGTCACCCACAGCGCTTTAGAAATTTTAGACTTTAAAACTGATGCAAATAATTGTGCATGTTTAAGAGGTACAGTGTGATAGTCTCAATACATTATATATGCTGTGGAATGCTCAAAAGAGGGCAAAGGACATTTCTAGCCCCTCAAATGTTCCTTGTTTCTTTGTGTTAGGAGCATTCAAAACCTGCTCTTCTAGCATTCTGAATTATAAGAGACTGTAAAATGTGCCATAGTTGCCATCCTGTGCTACAGACCTTAATCTTTTCATTTAACAGTATTTTTGTAATATCTCTAATTTTTCAAGCTATCCTTGTACAATTTATGTTCTCGAAACCATGGTGCAGAGCCTGGAACACTAGTCCTGTCTCATCACCCGGTGGACAGCATCTCTGGAGTCCTTTTCCAACCTAACACCTGCCTATGCAAAGTGTGGTCTCAATGGCAGGGTGGTCCTTGGAGTGCCCGGCAGCTGCTTGCATCCTGGACTCTGGGGCTCCGTGAACACAGGGTCATGGGTGCTTTTGATTTGCTCTCTACCCTCAGAAACCGTCCTGAGGACAAGCCAGCCTCTTGGGGCTGCAGCTGTCCAGATGGAGCAGTGGGCAGCCAGGGTGGACGGAGCAGGATGGCGAGAGGCCCTCTTGTCCCCTCCAAAGATGCCACCTCTGCAGGCTTTTAGCAGGTCCATGATGGGTGGAAGGTCTTGCCAGCAAGGTATGCATAGGCAGCTAAGCCAGGCCACCACTCAGAGCCAGTGACACACCAGGCACTGGCAGAAGGGAGCTCACCCCAACAAAGGCTCCTGTCCTTTCTTCCTTTCTTGGCTTCCCTCTAGCACAGTCTAGGAGGATACCAGGCAGATGCGGGAACCATCTGGTTAGAACCACCCTTATAGGAAGGCGCAAACAGAACACAGGCTTTGTTCTGGGTGGGCTGGGGTGGCCGACAGCTGGCCCGGAAGTTCAGCCTCAAGACCAAAGAAGCTCCTGGGCTGCACTGCTCTCTCCTTGTAAGGATCAACAGTGTGTCCAAAGGCATCCACTACCCTGTGTGAGAGTAAAGCACAAGCTGCCCGCCAGGCTGCCCTTCATCCGGAGGGGAGCAGTTATCTTGGTGTCTGCAGAGTCTAGCAGGCAGCTGTGCCTCAGGCTCTCTCTGTCATGTGGCATAAAAATAGAGGAGCTGTGCACTTGCCTGCTGGGACTGCAATGAACGGGAGCAGCCACCTTGGAGGCCCTGACCCTACCTATGGACTGGTACTGCCTGGCCACCTGGAGCCAGGCTGACAACCCTAGATCTGTGCGATGAGAAAACACGCTTTGGCACAGTGCAGGGAACCGTGGGGGCAGGGATGAAGGGGCCAAGGAGGACCAAGAACAAGGAAACTGGAATACACGACAGGCATGAGGCCTTGGAGGCGGAGCAGCTGCAAGCCCCGCTCTGGTGTGCGGGTGCACCGAGGCCCGGTTTTGGTAATGTGGGTCCTGGCTGGTTTGAAGCAAAGGGGTTTATGGCTTATTCGTTCACTCAGCTGTTGGCCGTGCCTCCTTTAAAATAGAAAAAGTGTTCACAATAACTTGGGAGAGAGCTTTCATCCCACAGCGTTTGTCAATGTGCCTGAGTGCACACGCAGAGAGACGCGCACACACAAGCAGAAGGCGTGTGCACACAAGCGCATGGATACACAGGTGGTGTGCGTGAGAGCAGAAGAGGGGCCCTGAGGGCTGAATGCCCCAGTCACAAGCCTGGGAACAGTGCCGGCAGCTGCTCGGATGGACAACCAGCCCTAGCTTGGGTTCAGAAGTCTCTGGGAGAATGCAGTCACCTACCCCAACCCCACACAGTGAGGGCCTCAGTGAGGGGCTGAGCGTGCCCTTTCTGTGTGGGCCTCATGATGGCACAGAAGATGGAGGTAACGTGTACCTCCTGGGAGATGCACTGGAGGGCCCTGGGTCCAAGCGTGGATACCAGGCAGGCTTAATTCTTTGCTGGGAAGGTAAAGGCTGAAGACACTGGAGAGAAAAGTACAGTTGCCCAGGAAGACTTGGTTTGCCGGGCCAGCTTCCCACGTCTCTCGTCACCACCCTTCACTCTACAACGTACCCAGGATCAGATCTCCAAGTACGGCAGGCAAGGGCTCGGATGGGGCCTTGCAGGGACAGGGAAGAACACCAAGGATCCCCAGTTGGGGTACAGGCTGCAGAGACAAAGACCCTCAGACATGGCATGAGGAACACAGAGCAGAGCCGGCTGGAGCCATCAAGGCTGCTCCTGCCCGAGCCCTGCTGCGTCCTGGGGCCTTGTCCACCAAACAAGCACTGTGTCTCTACTCCTGGGCTCTTATGCGGTGCAGCTGGCACTCACGTGTGTGTGGCTCACGGCAGCTGCGGAGGAGGCAGTGGGGGTGGCAGGGTTGGGGTGTTGCATCTCCTGCTCCAGGCTGACTCCAGGGGCTCATGGATTCTCTCTGGGCTGTGTCTGAACTGGTCTAAGGTAAAGGACAGGAAGATGCGACTCCCACATGCTTACAACATCACGGAGAGTAGCAGGATGCACCACGACTATGAGTGTACCACACTGAACATTTGAAGAGCAGACTGGCCGGGTATGATGGCATATGCCTGTAATCTCCGCACTCAGGAGGCTGAGGCAGGAGGAGCACTGTGAGTTCAAGGCCAGCCTGGGCTACAGAGGGAGTCCAAGACCATCCTGAACTACACAGTGAGACCCTGTCTCAAAAAACCAAAGGGGAAAATAAGAAAAGAGACTCGTGTGTGGGGTGGGAGGATTAGCAGGGACTTGATTATTTTCCCAGGAGTCAAGCAATTGCCTCTAGGAGACCCCTCCTGGGGACACCTATGGCTCCGGTGGTAATGACAGGTGGGCCTGAGCCAGGCCATTTGTCACCAGTCCCTTCGGCTCTGCAGGGAGGGGAGGCCTTGCAGTGTAACAGCCTGAGCAAGGCGCTAAGCCGGCCTGTAGGCAACACCCAACACCCTTGGAGTAGCAGCGTCCGTTACACACCAGGACTAGGAGGAGCTGGAGTCAGTGGTCATAGCAGAGGCAACGGGTCACGGCTTTTCCAGAGCCCCCCGCCCTTGAATCACTGGGCCAATACCTGCTGGGCTCTGGGCCGCAGAGGGCGTGGAAGATGAGCCTCCCGAGTCACAGTGACTGGTGCTCCCGCTGCCGCTGGGGCTCCCACTGGCGGAAGGCGGTGACGGCGACGACAGGGATGGGGAGCTGTGCTGGTTTATGCACTGGGCCACGGCAAAGCCTGCAGGACAATGGGATGTGATCAAGCAGGAGAACTGGGGCTGGATGGGGGCCTCGGCGTCTGGTGAGTTCCAGAATCTGGGCCCATTCCTGGCTGCGAGCTAAAGTAGCTAGAGACTGAGCTGGACGCAGCTGAAGCCTGGAAGAGGGTGCAGCCGCCACCATACTGAAGGCAGCCCATGGACCATGAGTCTGAGCACCCGGTGTTGCCCCAGCAGGGCTGACTGTGCTCTGGAAGGGGACTTCTGGCTGCTGGCAGTTTACACAGAGGTGCTGGGGACCCTACAGGCAAAATCCTGAGGCCTCTGCTGACATGCCCACACTCTGCCTGAGGGAGAGGCCTGGACTCTCCTTGCCAGACACCTGCTCTGCCCTGGTGGTTTGGGAGAGGGCAGGATCAGGAGCAACAAAAGCTCTGCACAAGAACTGCCCGTGACAAAGCTGGGCGTGGTGGTGCACACCTGTAACCCCAGCACTCGGGAGGCTGAGGCAGGAGGATCACTGTGTTTGAGGCCAACCTGGGCTACACAGTGAGTTCAAGGCCAGCCTGAACTGCAAAGTAAGACCCTATCTCAAAAACAAAAAACAAACAAAAAAGAGCTGCCTGTGACAGCACTGAAAGGTCCTCAGAGCCACTCTCTATGACTTGGAGGTTCTGTGGTCTGTAGCCACTTAGCATGGGGAGGGGGGAGGATCTGTGTCCTTGGGAAGCACCAGGCATGTGAACATGTTTGCCGCGATTCTGAGTCTGCTTCCCTGCTGTGAGCTGGGACCCTCTGTGCACAGCACACCCAGCACGGCCACAGCATGTGCTAAGTGCTCAGCAAATGCACTCTTCACAGTGAACCTCAGCCTCTCCCCCAGGACCCACGCTTTCCTGCAGACCACTCCAGGCCTCTGCCCTTTACACTCTGCTTTTCTAGGGAGCAGTGGCTCCTCATTTGACTCACAAAGTCCACAAAAACTTCCTTGGAGCAAACAGCTCATCAATTTCAGCTCTGGAAGACATTGGCATAGGAAAAGACTTTATGAACAAATCCTCAGTAGCACAGGAACTAGCAGAAAGAATCAACAACTGGGATCTCATCTTATTAAAAAGCTTCTGCACTGCAAAAGAAACCATCAACAGAACTAAGAGATAACCTATAACGTGGGAAAAACTTTTTACCAGCTGCTCCTCAGACAAAGGACTATTATCTAGAATATATAAAGAACTCAAAACAACCAGCGCCCCCAAATTAAAGACCCAATTCAAAAAAGCTCATCTGAAATGAACAGACATTTCTCAGACAAAGAAATAAAAGCAGCAAGTAAAAATATGAAAAAATGTTCCACATCACTGGTCATTCGAGAGATGCAGATGAAAACAACACTGAGATTCCACCTCACTCCACAAAGAATGGCTGCTATCAAGAAATCACACAACAACAAATATTGGCGAGGTTGTGGGGAGAAACCCTTACCCTTTGCTGGTGGGAGTGCAGACTGGTGCAACCACTATGGAAATCAATATGGAGATACCTCAAAGAGCTGGGACTAGAGGTTCCATTTAACCCAGCCATCCCTCTGCTGGGTATCTTTCCAAAAGAATGAAAAGAATCATATCACAGTGATGTATGCGCACCAATGTTTATAGTGGCACAGTTTGTAATAGCTAAAACTTGGAAACAGCCCATCTGCCCATCAGTTGGAAACTGGATAAAGAAGATGTGGTTTTTCTATAAAGTGAATACTACTCAGCCATAAGAATGAGAAAGTAGATTCACTCATAGGTAAATGGGTACATTTTGAGGATATACTCCTAAGTGAAATACATGTCACACCTATGCAAATACCGAATAGTTTCTCTGGTGCAAAAAACTAAAATAGTACTCAAGATCCTAACGGGACAATCAGCAACGTGAAATAGGAAGAAAAGGACCAAAGGTGTAGGGACAGTGAGAAGGATAGGGAAAGGGGAATAAGGGAAAAGGAAAAAAAAATGAGAAAATGTAAAAATGGATTTAAGTGTTTGAAGGTGGGGAGGGGAGGAGGGGGTGAAGGGAGGGTGGGGACAAGGAGAAAAAATGAGAATCAAGACCTGGTATGTAAAGGTACAAGAATGAATGTAATGAATGTAACTGTACTGTTTACCTAGAATGTACCAATAAATTCAATTTAAATAAAAAAAATTTTCATGAGCCCACGCCAGCCACGGGCTTCCTGCTGCAGCCCCAGGAGCGGGGCAGGACTCATGGTGATGGTGTCCTGTGGGCCACTTCCTCTGAGCCCTAATTCGGAAGCTGCACTAACATAAAGGATGGGGAGCACATCTCTTGGCGCTGTCAAGCCTTGCTACTCCGAGTGATTCCAAGCCACAGCCAACCCCGACTCCGTGCTGCGCCCCTGCTCGGCCAGGACCTCATGTGTCCATCTTCCGGCCGCCGCTGCTCCCTGGAGGTCCTCCAGGTTCCAGGCTCTTCCTTCCCAGAACTCAGGAAGGTGGCAGAGTGGTGAGCAGAGAGGAGCAGTAGCCCTAGAGGCTGCACAACCTCTGTGCCCAAAATGGCCTGCCAAGCCTAAAACATTCCCCGGATGGGAGCAGTGCTGAGCACAGTGCAAGTGACTAGTTTTTGTACTGGGGAATGAACCTTCACACGGGGCTACATCCCCAGCCTTTTTTATTTGGAGACAGGGTCTTTTGAGTTACTAAGTGGCCCAGGCTGAGCTCAAAGTTTCGAACTTCCTGTCTTGGCCTCCCAGAGTGCTGGACTACAGATGTGTGGCACCATGCCCAGCCGGAGGCAGGGTTTTAACCTTCATCTATTCACCTACCAGCTGAGGCCTAGACAAGTCCTTGCATCTCTCTTAGCCTCCTGTCCTGTCTTAGCAGGTGGGACGTACTACCCTGCCCAGTGGGCCATTGAGGAGCGGCTCTTTACACTGTTTTTGAGAAGCTATTTTTGCCCGCTTATCAGCTCCTGGACCGTTAGGGGAGCTACTGATACCCTCAGCCAGGCTCCCGAGGCCACGGAAGCTGTGTCGACATGGCGAGGCCCGTGCGCGTCTGTCTCCTGGCAATGCTGTGTGATCTCAGAAGGTGCTTCCTGCCCTTGTCCACAGAGACACAGAGACCACAGCGGTCTGCTGATGGAGACGGCGGTAGGGGCACTGTCCTGGGAGTCCTCAGGAAGAGGCATTCGTGCTGGACTGTGTGTGGTGGGAGAGCCCATCACAGGAACTGTGGCGAGCATCCGGCAAATCCAAACAATGCTTAGGAAAATTCCTTGGGGACAGTCAGCCACAGCCTTACGGGGCAAGTTTTATAGCTTTATAGCTGCTTACTTCTTAATCACTTAAAGTGGTAAACCCCTGAGTTTACAAGCTGTTTACTTGCCTTGAAAATGAATTACCCCTTAACAAACCAACATGTCAGGCGGCTTTTCCCAAGCTGCGTATTTATCAGAGGCCCAGGCACAGGGCCTGCAGGTGCTGTAAGAGTCAGGGTTGCTCCCTGTACGTCTGAATGGGAGAGTGGCACAGCTGCGACCCAGGCGGTCACACACCTCTTCTTTGAGGACACAGGTCCCCAGAGCCCTGCTTTATTACCGCAGTGTCATACAACTGCTCGTGATTGTTAACGCATCAGGAATGAGCGACGTGGGGGAGCAGACAGGATGGTAAAATTGCAGTCAAGGATACTAGTGTTCCATCCCAAGGGAGGGAGCACAAGACAGGAGAGAGGAAAAGTCTTTGATCTAGGGAATGGGCTGGGGTCAAGCACAGACTACAGTCAAATTTGTGTGTAATGAGAGATGGACAGAAAGATCATTCCAACCTCTGGTCTAAGGCATTTGCAGGGTCTAACTGAGCGGAGGCAACACATGCTGCAGCTAAAAGCCCCAATTCCCTCCTTTCCATTCTCCCTGCCAGGTGGTCCTGGGGCCCTGAAAGGTACAGCGATTGTTTTTCTTTTGGCTGAGTGCCAAGTCGCCCCACCCTGCAGCTTCGAGGGGCTCCTTCCCAAATGGAGGCAGCAACCTCCCTGAGAGTCTGCTTGCCACATCAGAGAGACGAGAGGGCACCCCTGGCCAGAGCGCCCTGGCCTCTGGTTCTTGCCCCATCCCAGCGAGGCAGTTCCGGGAGAACTCGCTGCAGCAGAGGTGCCAGAGGCTTTCTGGGCCTGTGTCAAACCCACACAGACCGCCAAGTCCTCGCAAACATGCAGACAAGCCAGAGGTCATGGGATTGGCGACAGCCTCCCCGAGATCTCGTCGGATAACGTTCTTGGCTCTCCCCGGTCTGTCTCAAGAACGGCTGGCGAAATGTGTACCAAAGGCCGCGCGGACTTGCACACCTTCTGCCTGCTCCGCATCTAGGAGCCTGTGTGTCAAAACCACAGATGGAAGTAGCGAGGTTTGGTGCCCTGGCGCGTAGGACAGGGGTACTAGCAGAGCAGATGGGAAGGAGGCGGGTGCGCTCCATACAGCTAGGTGGTGAGAGCCTTTGCTGCCAACAAGAATGCTAGCATAAAGAGTGTCAGTGGGCCGCGGGTTTAGCTCAGTGCTTCCGGCGCCTGCCTCACAAGTGCGAGGACCTGAGTTCGATCCCGGGTACCACACACAAGGGAAATGTCAAGGGAAATGCCTAGGATGTAACAAGGGAGAAAAAGTTAGAAAAGCATGTCCCATATGTTCCTACTGAGGAAAATTCAGGCAGTTCCTTGGGCCTTGTGCATGGCAGAGCAGTCCCCCCAGAGAAGTGGAGGCTACAGCAACGAGTGAACAAGGTAGCTTTACTGGAGTGGGCTTTCTTTTTCTGTGCTTGCCTCAGTTTTCTAAGATTTCTACTGTTGAACATTATCTTTTTTTTTTTTTTTTTTGGTGGTGCCGGAGATTGAACCCAAGAGCTGTGCATGCTGGGCAAGAGCTCTACCACTGAGTCAAAACCCAACCCTGAGTATTATCTTATACCAGAAACAACGGAGACTGAGAGAGGAAACACAAGCTGGCCAGGGGCTGG